TTAATTTTTTCTTTTTGGCCCCTACCAAATTCATCCACCAATCTCTGCAACTTCTCTTCAGAATCTCCCCAAAAGCACAGTGTCATAAGCAAAGAGCAACGTGACAACTCCCCACTTTAGTGTGATTTTTTATCTTTTAAAATCCACTCCTCTTGTCAAGACCCTCGCATTTACTTCCCCTTACAACCCCCTTGTTTAAAAAAAATTAAAAAAACCACGGTGACATCACACATCCCTTTTCTAAGGCCTACTTTTACTGGGGAAAAAATTTCCTCTTTCCCATGTACTCTAACTTGAGCCTCACTATCCTCGTAAAAACTCTTCACTGCTTTCAGTAACCTACCTCCTACACCATACACCCGCAACATCTGCCACATTGCCCCCCTTCCACCCTGTCATACGCCCTTTTCCAAATCCATAAATGCCACAAAGACCTCTTTAGCCTTATTAAATACTGTTCATTATATGTTTCACTGTAAACACCTGGTCCACACACCCCCTACTTTCCCAAAGCCTCCTTGTTCATCTGCTATCCCATTCTCCGTCTTACTTTTAATTCTTTCAATAATAACTCTTTCCATACACTTTACCCGGTATACTCAAACAGACTTATCCCCCTATAATTTTTGCACTTTTTTGTTCCCTTTTCCTTTATACAAAGGAACTATGCATGCTCTCTGCCAATCCCTAGGTACCTTACCCTCTTCCATACATTTATTAAATAATTGCACCAACCACTCCAAAACTATATCCCCACCTGCTTTTACATTTCTATCTTTATCCATCAATCCCGGCTGCCTTACCCCTTTCATTTTACCTACTGCCTCACGAACTTCCTCCACACTCACAACTGGCTCTTCCTCACTCCTACAAGATGTTATTCCTCCTTGCCCTATGCGAAATGACAGTAGTTTGTTGGATTATGTATTGGTAGACAAAAGACTGTTGAGTAGACTTCAGGATGTACATGTTTATAGAGGGGCCACAGATATATCAGATCACTTTCTAGTTGTAGCTACACTGAGAGTAAAAGGTAGATGGGATACAAGGAGAATAGAAGCATCAGGGAAGAGAGAGGTGAAGGTTTATAAACTAAAAGAGGAGGCAGTTAGGGAAAGATATAAACAGCTATTGGAGGATAGATGGGCTAATGAGAGCATAGGCAATGGGGTCGAAGAGGTATGGGGTAGGTTTAAAAATGTGGTGTTAGAGTGTTCAGCAGAAGTTTGTGGTTACAGGAAAGTGGATGCAAGAGGGAAGAGGAGCGATTGGTGGAATGATGATGTGAAGAGAGTAGTAAGGGGAGAAAAAGTTAGCATATGAGAAGTTTTTACAAAGTAGAAGTGATGCAAGGAGGGAAGAGTATATGGAGAAAAGAGAGAGGTTAAGAGAGTGGTGAAGCAATGTAAAAGAGAGCAAATGAGAGAGTGGGTGAGATGTTATCAATAAATTTTGTTGAAAATAAGAAAAAGTTTTGGAGTGAGATTAACAAGTTATGGAGCCTAGAGAACAAATGGATTTGTCAGTTAAAAATAGGAGAGGAGAGTTATTAAATGGAGAGTTAGAGGTATTGGGAAGATGGAGGGAATATTTTGAGGAATTGTTAAATGTTGATGAAGATAGGGAAGCTGTGATTTCGTGTATAGGGCAAGGAGGGAATAACATCTTGTAGGAGTGAGGAACAGCCAGTTGTGAGTGTGGAGGAAGTTTGTGAGGCAGTAGGTTAAAATGAAAGGGGGTAAGGCAGCCGAGATTGATGGGATAAAGATAGAAATGTTAAAAGCAGGTGGGGATATAGTTTTGGAGTGGTTGGAGCAATTATTTAATAAATGTATGGAAGAGGGTAAGGTACCTAGGGGTTGGCAGAGAGCATGCATAGTTCCTTTGTATAAAGGCAAGGGGGCAAAAAGAGAGTGCAAAAATTATAGGGGGATAAGTCTGTTGAGTATACCTGGTAAAGTGTTATGGTAGAGTTATTATTGAAAGAATTAAGAGTAAGACGGAGAAGATAGGATAGCAGATGAACAAGGAGGCTTTAGGAAAGGTAGGGGGTGTGTGGACCAGGTGTTTACAGTGAAACATATAAGTGAACAGTATTTAGATAAGGCTAAAGAGGTTTTTGTGGCATTTATGGATTTGGAAAAGGCGTTATGACAGGGTGGATAGGGGGGCAATGTGGCAGATGTTGCAGGTGTATGGTGTAGGAGGTAGGTTACTGAAAGCAGTGAAGAGTTTTTACGAGGATAGTGAGGCTCAAGTTAGAGTATGTAGGAAAGAGGGAGATTATTTCCCAGTAAAAGTAGGCCTTAGACAAGGATGTGTGATGTCACCATGGTTGTTTAATATATTTATAGATGGGGTTGTAAGAGAAGTAAATGCGAGGGTCTTGACAAGAGGCGTGGAGTTAAAGATAAAGAATCACACATAAAGTGGGAGTTGTCACAGTTGCTCTTTGCTGATGACACTCTGCTCTTGGGAGATTCTGAAGAAAAGTTGCAGAGGTTGGTGGATAAATTTGGTAGGGTATGCAAAAGAAGAAAATTAAAAGTGAATACAGGAAAGAGTAAGGTTATGAGGATAACAAAAAGATTAGGTGATGAAAGATTGGATATCAGATTGGAGGGAGAGAGTATGGAGGAGGTGAATGTATTCAGATATTTGGGAGTGGACGTGTCAGCGGATGGGTCTGTGAAAGATGAGGTGAATCATAGAATTGATGAGGGGAAAAGGGTGAGTGGTGCATTTAGGAGTCTGTGGAGACAAGGAACTTTGTCCTTGGAGGCAAAGAGAGGAATGTATGAGAGTATAGTTTTACCAACGCTCTTATATGGGTGTGAAGCATGAGTGATGAATGTGCAGCGAGGAGAAGGCTGGAGGCAGTGGAGATGTCATGTCTGAGGGCAATGTGTGGTGTGAATATAATGCAGAGAATTCGTAGTTTGGAAGTTAGGAGGAGGTGCGGGATTAACAAAACTGTTGTCCAGAGGGCTGAGGAAAGGGTTGTTTGAGGTGATTCGGACATGTAGAGAGAATGGAGCGAAACAGAGTGACTTCAAAGTGTATTAGTCTGTATGGAAGGAAGGCGGGTAGGGGTCGGTCTAGGAAAGGTTGGAGGGAGGGGGTAAAGGAGGTTTTGTGTGCGAGGGGCTTGGACTTCCAGCAGGCATGCGTGAGCGTGTTTGATAGGAGTGAATGGAGACAAATGGTTTTTAATACTTGACGTGCTGTTGGAGTGTGAGCAAAGTAACATTTATGAAGGTATTCAATGAAACTGGCAGGCCGGACTTGAGTCCTGGAGATGGGAAGTACAGTGCCTGCACTCTGAAGGAGGGGTGTTAATGTTGCAGTTTAAAAACTGCAGTGTAAAGCACCCTTGGTAAGACAGTGATGGAGTGAATGATGGTGAAAGTTTTTCTTTTTCGGGCCACCCTGCCTTGGTGGGAATCGGCCAGTGTGTTAATAAAAGAAATATATAGATGTGTAAATATATATAATATATATATATATATATATATATATATATATATATATATATATAATATATTATATATTCAGGGAGAAGGCTTACAGCTTTTCATCTCATCCCCTGCATGCATCAGCCTTACTAGAGATTTGAACAATTGCAGGAATTCGCGAGAGCAGGCGAAATATACACAAACACTGATCTCTGGCTGAAGGAGACTCGAACCTACGAACCTTAGGACAAGGTACGCATGTGCTTCACCAGTGTGGGTATATATATATAATATATAGTATATATATATATATATATATATATATATATATATATATATATATATATATATATATATATAATATTATATATATGCCTTACTGAATATATAGTGAGACATACACACCTCCTTGCATATATTGTGCAAGGAAACGCAGTACTCAGTGTATATGTTGAAAGAGAAACACTTCTGTCAATACTCGCCTACACTCGCAGTGCACATGTACATACCTCTTGGAGTATATACTCAGGTATGATCATATATAAATACATTATACATTAGAATAACCTCTATTCGTCTATCTACAAATAGTTAATAACACGGATTTTAAATATAAACGCATTAAAAAATTAGAGTACACACCAGAAAAGTGTGTGTGTGAAGGTGTACTCATAGTGTGTGTGTGAAGGTGTACTCATAGTGTAAGTGTGGAGGTGTACTCATAGTGTATGAGTACTCTTCAGGTCACTTGTTCTATCTAGGCTGGAATATTGCTGCACACTAACAGCATCTTTCAAGGCAGGTGAAATTGCTGACCTAGAAAATGTACAGAGAACCTTCACGGCGCGCATAACGCATAACGGAGATAAAACACCTCAGTTACTAGGAGCGCTTGAAGGGGTGTCACTAGCATGTTAAGAGACAACACAATGAGTGTCAGGGGCCCAAGACTGTTCAACTGCCCCTCAGCATACATAAGGGGGATTACCAATGGACCCCTGGCTGTCTTCAAGCAGGCACTGGACAAGCACCTAAAGTCGGTACCTGACTAGCCGGGCTGTGGCTCGTACGTTGGATTGCGTGCAGCCAGCAGTAACAGCCTGGTTGATCAGGCCCTGATCCACCATGAGGCCTGGTCACAGGCCGGGCCGCGGGGGCGTTGACCCCCGGAACTCTATCCAGGTAAATTCCAGGTACTCATAAAGTGTGTGTGAAGGTGTACTCATAAAGGGACTTAGTTACCAGTTAGTGTATTTATTAACCTTCTCCCTGCTCCATTAGCTTTATCATACCTCTTCTTAAGACTATATATGGATCCTGCCTCCACTACATCACTCTGCAGACTGTTCCACTTCCTGACAGCTATAACTGAAGAAGTACTTCCCAACATCCCTGTGACTCATCTGAGTCTTCAACTTCCAGTTGTGACTCCTTGTTGCTGTGTCTCATCTCCGAAACATCCTGTCTCTATGCACCCTGTCAATTACTCTTAGTAATTGACAGGGTGGATAGGGTGACAGGGAGTGTGTGTGAAGGTGTACTCACGAAGAAGGGTATGAGACCCTTGTCCCTGTCGATGTTGATGGCCTCCAGGACGCGGTCTCCACGCATGCTTAAGTTCTCATCACTCTCGATGTATCGTAGCTTCACCAGACCAATGAGACCAGCCTTCTCCACCGAGGAGTGTGCCTGTGTAACAACAACCATTGTCACAACCTTGTATCTCCATACCGTGTTTACTGGGATGTTGAATACTCTCTCCTGCGTGAGATATACAAACGAAAGTATGAAATGAATTTATAAGGTGATGAAATGTAACTACGGCAAGATACCTGATTGGACCAGTAAGACAAGGTACCAAATAAGAGCAGGTAATGCCAGGTACCTACCTGGTCGGAGCAGTACGCTACAAGTCTGGAGTTGATCTCGGCGTCTTCCAGGTCCGGGTACTCCTTCTGGTACCTCTGGATGGCCTCCGTCCGTGCCGCCAACAGACATACAAATGTTGCCTCTGACGCAGTCGTCTGCCTCAAACAAAAGTTAAGAAACTAACGTAAGACTTATGAGCAAAAGAATTTAATACGTTATTATTATTATTTATTATTATGGGTCGAACACGTCAAAGGGAAAGGAAACTTTATCAGGAAAATCTAACGAGGAAAATGCGGTTAACATATCTCTGTTATGAGACTGTTAGTGTGTAAAGTGTTGGTGTGTAGTGTTAAGTGTTACACCTGTGTACTGATGTAGTAGCAGCACCACCACTACCACTGCTACCACTGATACAACCACCACTACCACTGCTACAACCGCTACTACCACTGCTACAACCACTACTACCACTGCTACAACCACCAATACCACTGATACAACCACTACTACCACTGATACAATCACCACTACCACAACCACCACTACCACTGATACAACCACCAATACCACTGATACAATCACCACTACCACTGTTATAACCACCAATACCAATGATACAACCACCACTACCACTGCTACAACCACTACTACCACTGTTACAACCACTACTACCACTGATACAATCACCACTACCACTGCTACAACCACCACTACCATGATACAGCCACCATACCACTGATACAACCACTACTACCACCGATACAATCACCACTACCACTGCTACAACCACCACTACCACTGCTACAACCACCAATACCACTGATACAACCACTACTACCACTGATACAATCACCACTACCACTGCTACAACCACCACTACCACTGCTACAACCACCACTACCACTGCTACAACCACCACTACCACTGATACAACCACCACCACCACTGATACAACCACCACTGCTACAACCACCACTACCACTGCTACGACCACCACTACCACTGCTACAACCACCAATACCACTGATACAACCACCACTACCACTGCTACAACCACTACTACCACTGCTACAACCACTACTAACACTGCTACAGCCACTACTACCACTGCTACAACCACCAATACCACTGATACAATCACCACTACCGCTGCTACAACCACCACTACCACTGATACAGCCACCAATACCATTGATACAACCACTACTACCACTGATACAATCACCACTACCACTGCTACAACCACCACTACCACTGCTACAACCACCACTACCACTGATACAACCACCACCACCACTGATACAACCCACCACCACCACTGCTACAACCACCACTACCACTGATACAACCACCACCACCACTGCTACAACCACCACTACCACTGATACAACCACCACCACCACTGCTACAACCACCACTACCACTGATACAACCACCACCACCAATGCTACAACCACCACTACCACTGATACAACCACCACTACTACTATTACCCACTATCATTATCTACTCTTATCTACTCCCAGCCATAAAGCACCATCAACAACAACCAGCATGTACCACCATCAATCACTACCTCACTTTTATTACCACCCACCACCACCATCAACTACAACCCATCACCAACCATCACCATCAACTATAACTCATCACCAGCCACTCCGATATCAGAGTTAGGGCGGGGGGGGAGAGGGGGGTGTACAGAGACACCATCAGTATCAAATCAACAGCTGACGAGGCAAGTAATTAAGACTTTCTCCCTGACCTTCCCAGCCCCCCCTGACTGACTTGCTGATGCTACCATCACCACTACAACCACACCACTACTACCACCACTACAACCACACCCCTACTACCACAACTACAACCACAATCACTACTACGATCGCAATCTCCACCATCAGCTTATGCACCATATATACAAAACACAACTAGCCTCAGTGCCCCTATCCTAACCCGAACTATTTCTCTTTTAAATTTCATTGTCTGTTTACCTCATTTAAAAATAGACGCAGGTAAATACGTCAGAAAAGGAACGTAGAGCCAGGGAGACTTTTCTGCGGGTCCCTCAGTCCGTATTGTGCGAACTGTGAATACTGAAGCCTTGATTTGTGTAAACATCTTGTGTGAATTGTTGCCTGGGTGATGCATTATTATAGCTCGTGGATTATTTAGATTAGTTTTAGCTTCGTGTCAATGATATGGTGGAGTTAATTAGGAGCTAGGCTGCTGGGCGGCAAGAGCCAGGCAACTGGGCGGCCAGAGCCATTCTGCTAGGCGGAAAGAGCCAGGCTGCTAGACGGCCAGAGCCGGGCTGCTGGGCAGCCAGAGCCAGCCTGCTGGGCAGCCAGAGTCAGGCTGCTGGGCGGCTACAGCCAGGTAGCTGGGCAGCCAGAGCCATTCTGCTGGGCGGCCAGAGCCAGGCTGCTAGGCGGCTACAGCCAGGCAACTGGGCAGCTAGAGCCATTCTGCTGGGCGGCCAGAGCCAGGCTGCTAGGCGGCCAGAGCAGGGCTGCTAGGCGGCCAGAGCCGGGCTGCTAGGCGGCCAGAGCCGGGCTGCTAAGCGGCCAGAGCCGGGTTGCTAGGCAGCCAGAGCCGGGCTGCTAGGCGGCCAGAGCCGGGCTGCTGGGCGGCCAGAACCGGGCTGCTAGGCGGCCAGAGCCGGGCTGCTAGGCGGCCAGAGCCGGGCTGCTAAGCGGCCAGAGTCGGGTTGTTAGGCGGCCAGAGCCGGGCTGCTGGGCGGCCAGAGCCGGGCTGCTAGGCGGCCAGAGCCGGGCTGCTAGGCGGTCAGAGCCGGGCTGCTAGGCGGCCAGAACCGGGCTGCTAAGCGGCCAGAGCCGGGCTGCTGGGTGGCCAGAGCCGGGCTGCTAGGCAGCCAGAGCCGGGCTGCTAGGCGGCCAGAGCCGGGCTGCTGGGCAACCAGAGCCGGGCTGCTGGGCGGCCAGAGCCGGGCTGCTGGGCGGCCATAGTCGGGCTGCTGGGCGGCCAGAGCCGGGGCTGCTGGGCGGCCAGAGCCGGCTGCTGTGGGCGGCCAGAGCCGGGCTGCTGGGCGGCCAGAGCCGGGCTGTGCCAGGGCGCGGCCAGAGCCGGGCTGCTGGGCGGCCAGAGCCGGGCTGCTGGGCGGCCAGAGCCGGGCTGCTGGGCGGCCAGAGCCGGGCTGCTGGGCGGCCAGAGCCGGCTGCTGGGCCGGCCGGCTGCGCGGCGGTGCTGGGCGGCCAGAGCCGGGCTGCTGGGCGGCCAGAGCCGGCTGTGGGCGGCCAAGCCGGGCTGCTGGGCGGCCAGAGCCGGGCTGCTAGGGCGGCCAGAGCCGAGCTGCTGGCGGCCAGAGCCGGGCTGCATGGGCGGCCCAGAGCCGGGCTGCTGGGCGGCCAAGCCGGCTGCTGGGCGGCGCACAGCCGGGCTGCTGGGCGGCCAGAGCCGGGCTGCTGGGCGGCCAGAGCCGGGCTGCTGGGCGGCCAGAGCCGGGCTGCTGGGCGGCCAGAGCCGGGCTGCTGGGCGGCCAGAGCCGGGCTGCTGGGCGGCCAGTAAGACATTATTGTTACCGTACTTTTGTTTACCAATATTTTTACGCAAATAATTAAGCTATACCATAACCACTATTACGACCACAGTCGTCACTACCACCATAACCACTACTACGACCACAGTCGTCACTACCACCATAACCACTACTACGACCACAGTCGTCACTACCACCATAACCACTACTACGACCACAGTCGTCACTACCACCATAACCACTACTACGACCACAGTCGTCACTACCACCATAACCACTACTACGACCACAGTCGTCATTACCACCATAACCACTACTACGACCACAGTCGTCCCCTAACACCATAACCACTACTACGACCACAGTCGTCACTACCACCATAACCACTACTACGACCACAGTCGTCACTACCACCATAACCACTACTACGACCACAGTCGTCACTACCACCATAACCACTACTACGACCACAGTCGTCACTACCACCATAACCACTACTACGACCACAGTCGTCACTACCACCATAACCACTACTACGACCACAGTCGTCATTACCACCATAACCACTACTACGACCACAGTCGTCACTAACACCATAACCACTACTACGACCACAGTCGTTCATACCACCATAACCACTATTACGACCACAGTCGTCACTACCACCATAACCACTACTACGACCACAGTCGTCACTACCACCATAACCACTACTACGACCACAGTCGTCACTACCACCATAACCACTACTACGACCACAGTCGTCACTACCACCATAACCACTACTACGACCACAGTCGTCACTACATTATAACCACTACTACGACCACAGGGCACTAACCACCATAACCACTACTACGACCACAGTGCACTACCACCATAACCACTACTACGACACAGTCGTCACTACCACCATAACCACTACTACGACCACAGTCGTCACTACCACCATAACCACTACTACGACCACAGTCGTCACTACCACCATAACCACTACGACCACAGTCGTCACTAACACCATAACCACTACTACGACCACAGTCGTCACTACCACCATAACCACTACTACGACCACAGTTGTCACTACCACCATAACCACTACTACGACCACAGTCGTCACTACCACCATAACCACTACTACGACCACAGTCGTCACTACCACCATAACCACTACTACGACCACAGTCGTCACTAACACCATAACCACTACTACGACCACAGTCGTCACTACCACCATAACCACTACTACGACAACAGTCGTCACTACCACCATAACCACTACTACGACCACAGTCGTCACTACCACCATAACCACTACGACCACAGTCGTCACTACCACCATAACCACTACTACGACCACAGTCGTCACTACCACCATAACCACTACTACGACCACAGTCGTCACTAACACCATAACCACTACTACGACCACAGTCACTACCACCATAACCACTACTACGACCACAGTCGTCACTACCACCATAACCACTACTACGACCACAGTCGTCACTACCACCATAACCACTACTACGACCACAGTCGTCACTACCACCATAACCACTACTACGACCACAGTCACTACCACCATAACCACTACGACCACAGTCGTCACTACCACCAAACCACTATTACGACCACAGTCGTCCACTACCA